TAATTAAAATATGCACGTGGCCACCACTTTTGTACGTATAAGCCATTTTCTTGCATTCTATACGAATTTTTTGTCTGTATATACGTTTGTATATCTCGAAAACAATTTTGAATACACGTGCATTCTGGTTGTCTGGGTTTGGGTTGTAAGGTTAGGTTATCTTTATTAGCAAAACTTTCATCCAGAGGCTGGTTCATCTTTTAACGAATATCGGGAGTTGTAAGGAGAACTCCAAGGTAGTTGTGAGTTGAATTCCAAGAGATTCTCTGCTTGAACGTCAAGCAGTACAGTTCGGTGTTTGCTCGCTCTGTCGAGTTGTTCGATTAACCTATAGTTTGTTACAAACGTTCGCAGATATACTGCACGTCGCGTCGTCAGTAGTGTCGGTCGCATCGCGTGATGGGAAGACAGCGCTCCCGGAGCAGACTTCGTGATCAAGCGGAGAAGAAAAACAGTGGTGAGGGTAGCTCGGTACCTACCTCAAATAGGTACGCTACTCTTCCCACCGATGTTGGGAATACCAACCCAGTCCCGGTGAAGTGGACGAAAAAGAGGAAGAACAATCAAGGACAGTCCGATGGTACGAGCAGACGCGACGATGTTACCGCGACGAACGCCGTCGAAACCGAGAATTCTGCCGGCCCGAGTGCGGTGAAAATCAAGCTTCCTCCACTGGTGGTGAAGCAAGTACCACTCAACACGCTGATTGGCGATCTCTCATCGCTGGGCGTTGCCGCTGAGTTTAAGCTCGGCAGGATCGGCACCAAGGTGATGCTGCGAAAAAAAGCGGAGTACGAAGTGGCCGTGAAATATCTGAAGGATTCCAAGACGAAATTCTTCACGCACGACATCCCCGGTGAGAAGCCCTTCAAGGTAGTCATCAGGGGTCTACCAAACTTCGACCCCAAGATGGTCGAAGCTGAAATCAACCGGTACAAGCTAGCCCCAATCGCTGTATTCCGAATGACAAGGAGAGACGAAAACGTGAAGGTGTACCCGGATTGCCTCTTTCTGGTGCACTTCCAGAAAGGGACGGTGACTCTCAATGCGCTGCAAGCCATCCGATCGATCTACTCCATCATCGTACGATGGGAGCCATACCGTGGCGGCCATCGTGACGTAACGCAGTGCCAGTGGTGTCTCAATTTTGGACACGGTACCCGCAACTGCAACATCAAGCCACGCTGCAGCAACTGTGCTCAAGAACACGCCACTACCAACTGCCCTGCGGATGGAGCCGTGGCGTTAAAATGCGCCAACTGTGGTGGTGCACATCAAGGTTCCGACAGACAGTGCTCCAAACGCGAGGACTTCAAACGCATCCGAAAACAGGTGGCAACTAACAACCAATCAGGACGCAAGAAGGACAAAGTCCCGGCATTTCAGACGGAGGATTTCCCGCCTTTTCGTGCTCCTCAGCAAAGGCAAGCGAATTCGCGGGTGCATCTCGCTCAAGCAACTTCCGGTGATTCTGCTAGCCAAAGCTCTCCATCCCCCCTGGATTCTGGAGACAACCAACAGCGCAAAACAACAACCCCGATCTGTTCTCAGCGGATGAACTGATGGAAATTTTCGTCAACATGTCCGGTGCTCTTCGTAAGTGCCGCAATAAGCCCGAACAGATCCAAGTGCTCGGTAAGTTCATCATCCAGTATGGCGTCTAAACCGCTAACTATCGTCACCTGGAATGCTTGCTCTGTAAGAGCAAAAAAGATTGAGCTTGCCGACTTCCTCCGCAAGCACAGCATCGACGTGGGCCTTCTAACCGAGACCCATCTAAAGTCCGGCGACAGCTTCTGGTTGCCTGACCACAATATTATCCGGCTTGATCGCACCAGCTCCAGGGGGGGTGGTGTTGCGGTCGTCGTCAAGAAAGGAATAAAATACCACACTCTGTCCCATATCCGCACCTCTATCATCGAGGCCCTTGGTGTGGAGGTGGAGTCGTCGACTGGATACGTCCAGTTCATCGCCGTCTACTGCCCTCGACAGTGTGCCGCCAGCAGTGGACTAGCGGCTAAATTCAAGAAGGACCTGTCCACCATCACCCGTAACGGTTCCCGCTTAGTAGTTGGAGGAGATCTGAATGCTCGCCATGAGGCCTGGCGGAACTACCAGCAGAACCAGAACGGTCGTCTCCTGTTCGACCACTCACAGCATGGGCTGTATTCCGTTTGGTTTTCGGATGAACCAACATTCATCTCACCGGCGGGCAACCCATCGACGCTAGACCTGTTCCTGACAAATATCGGCTTGTCCAAGCCGATAGCCTTAAACGAACTCAGCTCCGACCACCAACCGGTGGTGGCTGAACTGGGCTGCAACGTGGCTCCTGCTTCAAGCCTGCGCAAGGACTACCATCGCGTTAACTGGGCCCAGTTTGGACGCGTGGTAGACAGGCACATCATCGACAACCCGCCGCTTGACACCGTGGAGGACATCGACCGAGCGTTGGAGGGACTCCACCAAGCCATAACCGTGGCTGACGAGGCGTGCGTCCGACGAGTTCCTGTGAGGGGTAAGTTTATTGCCATTGATTCCCACACCCAACTTTTGATTCGCCTGAGAAATGTTCGTAGACGCCAGTTTCAGAGGACTCGAGATCAAGCGAGGAAACGTGAAATGGCCGATCTGAACAAGGAGATTGCTTCCAGAATGGTCTCACGAAAGTTTCGGGTGGCTTGTCCAGAATCTGGACGACCGCTCCAGACCATTCTGGAAAGTTGCCAAGGTCTTAAAGACGCACCCTAAACCCATTCCACCACTAAAAGATGAAAATGATGACGATCGGCTCATAATCACCCCTCAGGAGAAAGCAAATGCGATTGGTGAGCATATTGCCAAATCGCACTTGCTTGGCTCCAACATCCAAAGTCCGCTGGAAGTTCAGGTTGAGCTATGCGTACTCAACCTTGATTCCTCTCTTTGTGCCATCCCTCCGGAGGATAGAATCACAGTGGAACAGATTTGCTCAGTGCTGAAATGCACCAAAAACATGAAGGCCCCGGGTTTGACGGAATATTCAACCTAGTGTTGAAAAATCTCTGCATGAAGGTTCACTCTCTGCTGGCTGCTGTCTTCAACAGATGCTTGGAACTGCACTACTTTCCAAGCAAGGTTGCAAAGACTCATTTCAGCTAAAACAATGTTTTTCCAAATTATGAAATAATTAGATGCCATGATCAAATTTTGAATTGGTAGGCTACAAGAAGAGGTTGCAAAGAATGTGTTTGACATATTAAACCTGTTTATTTCACTTCATGAGAGTCACAATCAGCGATTTTTCACAAACTCACTCACTCACTCACTCACTCACTCAGCGATCAGCAAATCGCTGATAGTGACTCATAGAAAGCAAAATTTACAGGTTTTATGTTTCCAACGTATACTTTGTAACCTCTTCTTGTAAGTTACAAGTAAAACATGCCATCATACCATCTTTTGGTTTTATTATTCCGAAAAACATTATTTTAGCTGAAATGAGTCTTTGCAACCTTGTTTCCAAGTATCTGGAAGACAGCGAAAATCATACCTATCCGCAAACCCGGGAAGGACCCAACGCTAGCTTCAAGCTACAGGCCAATCAGTCTCCTTTCAGCGCTGAGCAAATTGTTCGAGAAACTTATTCTCAGTCGTTTGCTCAAGTTTGTCGAGGAGCAAAACATTCTCCTACCGGAACAGTTCGGGTTCAGCAAGGGGCACTCCACAAATCATCAGCTAGTACGGGTGACGAATAACATCCGAAGTAACAAGGCTGTATCCAAGTCCACAGCCGTGGCATTGTTAGACGTTGAGAAAGCGTTTGACAATGTCTGGTACAATGGGCTTGTATACAAGCTTTGTAACTTCAACTTTCCTTTGCATCTTGTTAAAATCATCCGTAACTACCTTCAGCAAAGATCGTTTAAGGTATCGTTGAAAGGCTGCCTTTCAAACACGTTCTCCATCCCAGCAGGAGTTCCGCAAGGAAGTCTGTTGAGCCCTTTGCATTACAGCATCTACACTTCAGACATTCCTCCCCTCGGAGACGGTTGCGTGTTCTTCCTATTCGCAGGTGATACCGCAATAACCGTCAAGGGTAGGATGCCTCGCGAAATAACAAACAAGCTCCAACGATGTCTTGACGCCTTCGCTGATTATGCCACCACGTGGAAAATCAAAATCAATGCTTCCAAAACACAAACAATCATGTTCCTCCATCGGCAATCACCCAAACTAAAACCGGCTCCCTCTTGTACTGTAATCATGGATGGCACAAGGGTTGAGTGGTCCGCCGAAGTAACCTATCTCGGGATGTTGTTTGACGAAAAGCTCCTATTCCGCTCGCATGTGGAGAAAACCGTAATCAAGTGTTCCGCCTTGGTTAGGTGTCTGTATCCGCTGATTTGCCGTAGATCCCGCCTCTCAAGAGTGAACAAACTGGCTGTCTACAAACAAATCATAGCACCTGCGATCCTCTACGCAGCTCACATGTGCACAGACTCACAGGAACAAAATTCAAGTCGCTCAGAATAGAGTGCTGAGGATGGTACTTGATCGGCCTTTCGACACTAAATAGAATAATAAATTTACACGAAGAGGCTGGCATTGCCAAAATAGATTCCAGAATTAACGAAATAAAAACTAAGGTTGCACAAAAATGTAATTTATGACAACATGCTTTGATAAGCAATTTATATATAGTAGATTAGGTGTTGTTGCTAATCGATTAGGATAACAAATTATCTGTGTTTGTCATATCCTGAAATTGCTCGTAAGTTTTAGTGTATAATTCATATTTATAATTATTAATTTACTCACAACAAATTCTAGTGTGTTCAAAAATACATTTGCAATCTATAGAAATAAATTTTTACTACACCAAATCAGTTTTTTGTTTTTAATATAAACAACGTACTGAGCCGCACAATCCAATCGTGTTTTCCTTTGTATTTCGCTAAATCATTCCTCTTGACAGTCCTCATCAATCTATTCATGACCCGTCGAGTTGACATCTCCGTTCATCTACTGGATTCGGGAAGCCTCAATTCCCTATGGAAATTAGTAACGGGTGTAGTGACGCTCGTTACGCTTTCGCCAACATTTCCCGACCCGTAAAGCTGCTCCGATCCTCCAGCTTTACTCCGATCCATGATATCCAAGACTGCAAGCTTCGTCACAGGTCTCCGAAGTACTCCTGACACCGTCCTGATGTTCGCTTGCCTGACCCGTCCATCCTTTCCGGGAAACACCGTTATCACGATCCCCCGTATCCAACGGTTCCTCACGCCTTCGTCCACCGAGAATACGACATCTCCTACTGCAATGGGTTTCGTATCTTCAAACCACTTCGTTCTTCGAGTAATCGTCGGTAGATACTCTCGGATCCATCTGCGCCAAAATTGATCGAGCATGTATTGGCACAGCTTCCATCCGCTCCGAAGTGCTTCTCCTTCGTCCGTTGGTGTCTTCTCTGTTTGCTTCGCTCCATCCGAACTAAGTAGAAGGAAGTGATTCGGCGTAAGTGCTTCCTGATCCGACGTCTCTAGTGGCATATATGTCAACGGCCTCGTGTTGACCATAGACTCTGCCTCACACAGAACGGTTTGGAACACTTCCTCTGATGGTGTCCTTGGATGGTTGATGGAGTTCATTGCTGCTTTAACCGCCCTAACCATCCTCTCCCAAGCACCGCCCATGTGCGGGGAGGCAGGCGGGATGAAACTCCACTGGGTGTTAGCGTTCGTGAAACTTTCTGACAATTTCTGGTTGATATCCCTCATCTGTTTCGCCATCTCTCGTTCTACTCCAACGAAGTTTGTCCCGTTGTCAGTGAAAATACGAAGTGGGGCTCCTCGTCGTGCGATGAACCGCCGTAGAGCGAGCTTGCACGATTCCGCCGACAGAGATGCTGCGACTTCGAGATGTACCGCTCTAATGGTGAGGCATGTATAGAGCACGACCCATCGTTTCACCTGACTTCGACCAATCTTGATCAAACATGGTCCGAAATAATCGATGCCGACCAGGGAAAACGGACGAACGAAAGATGTCACACGTTCTTCCGGAAGCGGAGCCATCCGAGGAACTTTTGGTTGGGCCTTGTACACGCGGCACCATAGGCATCGCCGTGCTATTTTCTGAACTTCCGTGCCCAGATTAGAGATGTGAAACTTCTGCCGGATCTCATTGACCACGGTCTCTCCGTTTTGATGACCATACATTCTGTGATACCGATCGATGAGTAACTCGGTGATGCGATGACTTTTCGGCAAGATCACTGGATATTTTGCGTCGTACGTAGCATATGGTGAAGCACCTATACGACCACCCATCCGGAGTACACCACAATCGTCGATAAACGGAGGTAGATTCCTTATGGGACTGGTCTTCTTGACGTTTGCTCAAGTATCACTACTCCTGTCCGGATTTTTCCTCAAAGTAGTCAACAACTTCTGCTGCACATTCTAATCCACGACATTTTCTAACAAAGTGGTATCATATGCAGTAGCTCGCAACAGTCGTTCCCATGTCGAGAACCGACTGCAATCGATAAAGCCGGTATCAACGATTTCCGTGTGGATGTGAACTGCGCGCAATTCTTCATGAATCTCGATGAACTTCACCTTTTGCTGGGGCCACTGATCTTCTGGTTCGTATAGAAAGTCTGGACCTACAAACCACCGATTGGATGGACGCAAATCGGGAACGCCCTTCCACTTCGTTCCGTCATCAGCTATGTTGAATTTAGACGGAACGTGTCGCCATTCTTGTACGTTTGTGTCCTCCAAGATTTCTCCGACTCTTACTGCAACGCATTGTCGATACCTTCTTGCGTCTGATCTTATCCACGACAACACTGTATCAGAATCAGTCCAGATGCACCTTTTTTGGATTTCTATGGTATGATTCTCGACAATCGACTTCATCAGTCGACTACCCAACAACGCTGCTTGCAGCTCTAAGCGCGGAACCGATAGCGGCTTCAGAAGTACTACCTTCGTCTTTGACGCAACCAGCGCACACCGTGGTTGTCCGCGATCGATTACGCGGAAGTAAGCTACGCAAGCCAAAGCGGACAGACTTGCGTCCACAAATATATGGAGCTCCAATGTTTGGTAACTCTGCGTTACATACCCCGGAAAATAGCAACGAGGTACTCGTACTTGGTCCAGGGTGCTGAAACTGTTTGCAAAACTGATCCAGCTTTCTTCAACATTCTCCGGAATCACTTCGTCCCATCCGACTCCACATCTCCAAAGATCTTGGATCAATATTTTCCCATGGATGAGAATGTGAGAGATCAGACCGAGGGGATCGTACAAGCTCATAATGAATCGAAGAATCTTCCTCTTCGTTGGCGGTGAATCTCCCGACACGAGATGCTGTAGATCCTCTGGTAACGACAAACTGAAGATGAATTCGTCCTCATTTGGTAGCCATGCCATTCCCAGAACTCGTTCAACCTGATTAACCTTATCGTTGCCGAAATCTTTGCGATGAACTACGTTCTGCTCTCCGATACCTTGCAGCACCTTCGATGAGTTCGACAGCCAATTTCTGATTTCGAACCCGGCTTTTGCGTGAACGGTACGAACGTCTACAGCCAGCTTCGTCATTTCCTCTTCGGTGTCCCGGCTATCCAAGTAGTCATCCACATAATGGTTTTCTACTATAGCCACTGCCGCTTCCGGAAACTCAAGCTCAAAATCTTTCGCATTTCGGTTCTTAATGTATTGAGCTTGACAAGGTGAACACGTCGACCCAAAGGTAGCCGCATCCATAATGAAGATTTCCGGAGCTGTTGATGGATCAGGACTCCATAGAAAGCACTGAGCCATGCGGTCCACTCGCCGAATGAAAAATTGGTGATACATCTCCCGCACGTCCCCTACGGCAGCTACTTGCCGTTGTCGAAATCGAGACAGCACTTTCGGAAGTGGAGTTAGCAGATCCGGACCCTTCAATAGCATTCCGTTGAAGGATACACCGTTTACCTTTGCAGCTGCATCCCAAATCATTCGAACTTTCCCAGGTTTTCGAGGATTGACTACCACCCCCAACGGCAGAAACCACATTCGAGTAGGGTCGGCGTCTTGGATCTCTTTCTGCGACGCCTTGTGAGCGTAGCCTTTCTTCTGATAATCTTCGATTTGCCCTTCCAAATTCGCTTGAAGCTCCGGGTTCAATTTCAAACGTCGCTGAAGACATGCTAACCTCCTTTCCGCCATAGCGTAGCTAGAAGGAAACTGCACCGTGTCGCTGCGCCATAGCAATCCTGTCTCATAGCGACCGTCTTCCCGTCGCATTGTTGTTCTCTCCAGGATCTCTCGTGCCCGTCGATCTTCTTCTCCCTCGAGCGTACGTGGTATCGAAATACCAAGACTTTCCTCCGCGAAGAAACTATCCACCAGCTCATGTAGACCTTTCAACTCCTCGCATTTACAAATGTGCAACGACGGTGCATCATTGATCTTAGCAGAATCACCGATGCTGCCAAACACAGTCCAGCCCAATCTGGTTTTCGTAGCGACTGGCTCCTGTGCTCCTCTTTCTCGACATTTCAGCGGAATAGAAAGACGCACATTATCGAGCCCTATTAAGATTCTTGGAACGGCTTGCTCGTAGCTCTGAACTGGCAGTCCCTCCAGATAAGGATAACCTTTTGCAAGATCCCCGTACCGAAGAGTTTGTACCGGTAAATCCAAGCCCGCGACATTTCGGACATTTTCCAGTGTAAATCTTGTACCACCAGATGCGCTGGAAATCTGTAAGCTTATGCGACGAGACGTAGGCTCACGCCGCGTGACATTCGCTGTCCAGGTTAAACACAAAGGTTGAACTTCTCCGTCAATGCTCAATTGATCAGCGATTTCTGCATCCATTAGCGACGATGAACAGAAACGACTGCCGGAGATCTGGCCCCCGAACGCGAGGACTCATGGGATTCCGGGAGACCCGGGTGTAACATTGTATTATGGTCCTTAGAACAACCCCCTACGTCACAAACCCGTGTTGATTTGCATGGCCACTTACCGTGTGCTACCAAGCATCGTCTGCAGAGTTGGTGTGTTTGGACTGCTTTCCAACGGTCCCCAAGCGTAAATGACTTAAATTCAACACAGTCCCTGATTCTATGCTTGTTACTTTGACAAACGTAACATGGTCTAGCTTGACTATCTACCCTCTTACCTGCAGGACTTTCTTGCTTACGATAGTCTTGCGAATAATGCGCATTCATATACTCCCTGTCGTTCGATTTTTGTTTCTCAGGCCGGCTCGATCGTTGACCACCGTGCTCGTGGAAGTGAGTAACGTCACTGGCTGCAGAAGTTATGGTGGTCATATATTCGCTGAAGGTACCCAAATCGACGAATCCGATGCGTTTCTTGTACAGCGCCCAATCCAAACGAATATTGGCAGGCAATTTGTCTACTAGCTTCCCTATGGAAATTAGTAACGGGTGTAGTGACGCTCGTTACGCTTTCGTCAACAGGTGTATATAGTAGTTGTATGTTAGTTGTAGTTGTAAATAGTAGTTATAAGTAGTCTCCTTTTTACAATTCAAATCAAACCAATCCCACCAAGGTGGTCATACTTTAAAAATAGGCCTGATAGGACTAGGAACTGTAAATAATAATTAAAATCTCAAATGTACTAAAGTTGAAAAGACGCATCTGTGTCACTTGAAAATTCATACATGTAAACCACACAAACACAAGAAATAAAGATCATTTAAAGTAAAAAAAAAAATACTTTAATTCAAATCTCTCTCCCTTTACCTTAATTACCAGCCACATTTGTCACGAAAATTAACAACAGATGGCACGCATGCTTTAGTTCCAGCACTTTCGGAGTTTGGATATTGAACGTATTTTCCAAGCATGCTTCCTTAGTACCGTTCCGATTCAAATTTCAGACGATTCAAATTTCGGACACTTTCATTTTTAATTAAATATTACATCCAGTTAGAAACAAAGTAATAATGTTAGATGATCGTGGAGGGCACTAGTCAAAAAAATTTAAAATTTACAAGACATGTGGATCATATTCGACCGAGATAATCAACTTTTAAAAGTGTCCGAAATTCGAGTTTAAGTGTCCGAAATTTGAATCGGCACGGTACCTCTATAAGGATGCGAAAAATAAATGTTTCATACTTTCGAAGAGATTTCAGTTTCTAAAAGATAACACACATTTATGTTCCATTTTCAAGTCCATGGCTGCTTGAAATCACAAATGAAAGTTAATTTCCTACTATCAATACAAACCTAATATGTGTACACCCCAAGTAACCAACAAGCCTGTCTCCATAATTCCATGGAGATTTTAGGAAATACTTAATCAATACTGAGGAGAGTTTATTTCAGGAGAGTTCTTTGAGAATTCCTCGGTAATTCAGGGAACCTAAATAATAATTTTATGAGATAGAGTGAATCAATGAGCTTTCTAGCGATAATTTCTACAGTATTTTAGAGTAAATTGTAAGAGAATACCAGAGAGAATTTTAAGACGAGCCCTGAAAAATTTTTGAGATGATTCTAAGGAAAATCTTAGGAAAATACTAAAGAAATTCTGTGAAGAACTGCAAGAGCATCAAGATGATTCACACACAGATATTTTTCAAGATCACAAGAGAAAATTCCAGAGGCCTTCCTTAGCTCAATCGGTAAAGGCACAGCTACAAAGCAAGACCATGCTGGAGGTTGCTGGGATTGATTCCCGGTTCTGTCTAGGAAGTTTTCTCGATGCTTTCAAAATTTAAAACTAACAGAAATATTTCAATAGCATATTTTTTAAACGAATTTTAAATAAAGGTTTCATTGATAACCTGGAAATTTTCTGTTGAAGTTCTGGAAAAACCTAGAATACTCAGGAAAATTGATTAAGCATAATCCACTAAGAAACTAAGACCAATCCTGAGCAATCAAGCATGAACAATCAAGATTCTGCTACATAATTTCATGAAAAGCATTCAAAATTTGCAATGTTTCACGACATGAAAATTAAGCTTACATAACAATTACAACATTATTTTAAAAACATTGCGGCGACCACATTACAGAATCTGTTCATCCGGTCAAAAAATGCAAATTCTGAAAACTGTTTATGCTAACATGCAATAGAATCTTACATTTCCCGGTTGGGTGTGGCTTCTGAGCGAATTTACCATCTTTATCGCCTCATGATATCATACTCAAGCTGCAGTATTAACATGATTGAT